TTGTCACTTGTAGTTCTTTAAATGCATATTTATTATTTCAATTTAATTGAAAACTCACTTAAATACAGTAAAAATACAGTTTCAAGGAAACATTCAAAAAAACAAAAATTTTAAATTCTTCAGAAGAAGATATATTTTGTGTAAAATTTTTTTCTTTACAATATATCAAAAGTTTGAAATAGCGATTTTTCAGTAGCGAGAGCTACAAAACGGAATGGAATTTAAACCTGAAAAAAACCTGCTATTTTCATAGTAGTCCTATGTATTTTACGGTGGAGAAAACATACAGAGCCGCTTCTGCAGGCCGCAGCCGACAGCTACAAATATCTGGTATGCTTTAAACGTTAAAAGTTTCTTACGCAGGATGGAAAAAAAAGTTGTAATTCACTTTAATAAGATTAGCAGATTATTATTTTGCAATGTTGTGACATGTAGTCTGTAAAATATGTGAGTCTACAGTAAAAATAATCAGTTTTTTCAGGTGTACACTTCACTCTGGCTCATAGCTCTCAATACCAAAAAGCTGCATTCCCAATTTGATACGTGGTAAAGAAAGGAATTCTACAAAAAATGTGTCTTTTTTAAAAAATTTAAAATTTCTTTTTTTCTTTTTAATTTTTCTTTAAAATTTTATGTATATTGTATTTAAGTGGTTTTTTAATAAAATTAAAATTATAAACATGCATTCGAAAGATCATATCAAATAAACGAAAAATTGCTAAATTCTCTTAAGAACAGGCTAAATTACAAGTCTGGAAGGATATTCGTGTCAGGCGGCAACCTGGCAAATTCTGTAACTTTGAGGAGAGTGTAGCGTGGAGACAAATCTACTTCTCCCAGTTTTCTCTCAGCTTTCTGTATACTGGTTTAGACTCTACTTGTCAGGAAAATTTCAAAAAAACTTAGGATATGAGGGAAAAAAAGTTTTCCACTTGGCACAAAATAATTCATATATCTGTATTTTTTAACTGTTTTTTCTGTTAAAGTTTGCTATTTCTAATGCCTTCTTTTTGAAAGTTGTGAGGAAAATTTGAAACGGAACTGAATGTTTTCTCTAAAAGTAGTTTCTGGTTTATTAGAGGAATTTGAAAAGGAATTTGTTTTTAAAAAGCGTGCGGCAGTACCGACTGCGTCAAAAAGTTTATACAATGAAGTTCCAAATTGCTTCTACCAGGCCTAAAACTATAAAATACTAAATAAAAATTATGACTTTCACTGGAGTCAAAAAGCCATTTTTTGTAACCCAAGTTGTCTAGATTTCAAGACTCCTTTTATCTGTCTGGCTAAATTGAGCGACAGAATTTGCATTACAGAGCTGCTGCTTATTTTCTGCTTTTGAAATACTGTAAAGTAGAGGCAATCAAAAAATTAAGACACTGAATGGGTAATCAAGTTGAAAAATATAAACTTCCGCCCAGAAGTAATGTTATTATGATTGTTTCTATTATTATTAGTATAGGCATAAGTGTTATCATTAGAATAAGCATCAGTATTAGTATTAGCATCAGTATCAGTATAAGCATCATTAGCAGTATCAATATTAGTATTAGTACCATCACTATTATTCACATTATTATTATTTCTGTGTTTGCTGTTTCAGTTATTATTATTATTATTATTATTATTATTATTATTATTCCTACTTGGCTTATCACGTATCTATTATAAATGCTTTAAAAACATTAAGAAAATGATTTTAAAAGTTTTTTAAATGAAGACCGTTTTTTACACGACTATTTTCTTCAGAATATAATGCTTCGCAATGGCAAAGGGTTGGCAGTTGCTGTTGGACTGATATTCGTTGGTCTCTGTCTGCTACCGTTAAAAAGGAGACAACTTGTGGAACCCAGGGTTACAAACGATACTGAATTA